AATAAAGAACGCAATAGAGAACACTGATCTGCAATTATTTCATTGCGCTATGTGACGTCAACAAGCGTGCTCGCCAATCGCATGTGAGACCACGAGTGAACCCCAAGGCGAAATCGGCGGGCGAACGATATCAGCGCAAGCTCAATTAAAATTGATTTCACGATCGTGGGCGACAGACGAGACTGACCCTTCACCTCTGACAATGACGATTAATTGCGAACGTCAGGCTTTACAACGTCGTACGATAAATTCTGATCGAACTACTTAATAGCGATTAAAGGACCAACGAACACAAAGCATTCCTTTGTGTGCACGTGATCTAAAGAATTATGTATAAAACTTGAAATATCAAAAATTATAAAAATGTTTTTTATATTCTTATTTTATATATAATATATATTCTTAATTTAATTTATAACAACTAATACGAGGCTCATTCGATAGGTAAGATAAATTTTTGCGAGATAGTGCTACAATGAACTGTGTAGTATATGGCCAAGAATTAACACTATTCACAAACTGCCTCATACCTCAAGTTTCAGACAAAAGTGACGCTTAGTTTACATATAGCAGACGTTGGAAGTGAACATAGCAGCAGTGTCATAAAAGTAGAGAAAGACAAATTCCGTGATTAAACTTTTTTATTTAAAGAAGTGGACGGCTACGCAGATTAAAGCCGAATTCACGGATTCTGCACTAGCGTTGAAGACCGTTTATTTTTGGATTAATGAAAAAGAGGTCGGACATCAACCAAAGATGAAGCGCACCCCGGCTGTCCAATTGAAATCACTACGCCAGAAACGATTGAAAAAATCCATTGTATCATCATGGAAGATTACCGAATAAAGGTGACATAGCGTAACATAGCTGAAATTATAGGCGTCTCAGTAGATAGGGTGCATAATATCCTGCACAAAGAATTAGAAATGAAAAAACTTTGTGCACGATGGGTGTCGCGATTGCTGACCATCGATCAAAATCACGCATGCGAAAAGATATTTCGCAGCAGTGTTTGTCGATGCTTAAGCGCAATCCACAAGACTTTTGGCGTCGATTCGACCGTAGACTTGGATCCATCATACACCCGAGTCAAAACAACAATTGAAGCAATGGACAGCGCCTAGTGAATGTATGCCGAAGGAGACGAAGACTGTTTTATCGGCCGGGAAGATAATGACCACTGTTTTTTAGGATTCCCAAATCAGGAATCATCTTCATTGACTACTTACAGAAGGATCAAACAGTCATAGGAGCATATTATTCTACACTTTTGAATCGTTTGTACGAAGAGCTGCAAACGAAACGGTCGAGATTGGCGCGCAAAAAAGTCATCTTTCACCATGACAATACTCCGGCTTACACCTCCACAGTCGCAATGGCAAAATTGCATGAATTAAGATTCAAATTGCTGTTTCATCCACCCTATTTTCCTGATTTGACCCCTTATGACTTCTTTCTATTCCCAAACCTCAAAATCTGGCTCGAGGGAAAGAAATTTTCGTCCGATGAGGAGGTCATCGATGCGTATTTTGAAGGCCTCGAGACTTCCTATTTTTCCGAAGGGATAAAAAAATTGGAACACTGTTGAACTAAGTGTGTAGAGCTCCAAGGAGACTATGTCGAAAAATGAAAAAGAATTTTTCAGAAAATAGGTGATTTTATTGCTTTTTTACCTGACTTATCAAACGACCTTCGTAAAAATAAAGATATTTTGTAGGCGATTAAAATTCACGATACTAATGTTTTGAAAATAGCACATTATATAACAAATTTTTATTCGACTCAAGGATTAGGAAAATTGCAATATCATTTTATTGTTATTCAAAGATCATTGATAACGACAAATTAATTAATAATGTAATATTGTGCAATACAAAATTATATGAGAATGTAACATTGAATTGCGCGTTTACGGATACTTGAATTTTTAAATGTAATCATTCTCGTTATACGATTGAAAAAACATCCATATAATGATTCTGCGAATATGATCAATGATGTGAATCATTCTGAAAATCCGACTGATTAGAGGCACCTATTGGAATGAGTTATTTTTAACGACCAAAATTATTCGTACTTATTCGTAAACAGACACCAAGTGTATATATTGTTACGTTTAATGACAAGTGAGTAAACTCAAGCGAAGACTCATAATTGCAAAGTATAATTAATTAACCATGACGATGTGCAACTTCATAGAATGTTAAGTAATTATGATTGTTAGCGTAACAATATTAAGTAATACCGAATGATAATGAACTGAATAGATCATGCACTGTAAGTAATTTTCTCTAATGAGCTATGATTTAGAATGATAAATATATTTTATTTCTTGCCATTTTATCTTCGGAAAAAAAGAAGATATAATACCTATTACATATAGTCATAATGCAACTATGTTTCTGAAAGCCTTCATAATTTCAAGAATCACTGATATTCTCGATATTCTCCAATTAGATAATTATAAAACTTAATAAATACATATGCATACAATATTAATAATCATGAACGCGTTAATTTGCGGATGTCACTTTACGAGTCTCTACTCGATAAAATGTGCAATTCCGTAACAATAAGAATGTTGAGTATAGGATAGAATGTTGATATGTCGCTAATCAAGGTAAAAGTAGAATTACTTTCCGTTCGATCAATCGTGGATCTTTTTACCAACTCACAATACTCTCGAGATCCCTGCGTTATCATACAATCATGCAAACAATCTTCGATTTCCGCTTTAATTAAATAAATGTTTCTCATCCAATTTAATCCAAATTCTTTATTTGCAAATTTTATTTGAATTTTATTTGAATTTTATTTGCTTGTGATTAGTACATAAAAGTTTGCGAATTTCCTTTTTCCACATGAAATATGTCTTGTTTCATTGATGAGAGATTACGTGAAAAGTAAACTAGCAAAGGTTAAAATAATAACAAAGTTGCGCAGGTGGTAAACGAACAAATGGCGAAAGTCTCACGCTTATCTCACATTAATACGAGACCAAAGTCCGCAAAATGTGTAATGTTACATCATCGAGCATAGTACAAAATACGAGGAACGATTGATAACAGTAAAATTAAAATTCAAAGTGACGTCACGACATTTTTACTCATTTTATATTTTCAAATTAAAAGATTCTCATCAGGAAATCTTTTGTAACTCGAGCTAAATCGATCATATATCGAAAATCACGAGCTTTGGAATATTCAAGTTGAGAACCAGTATTTAGTCGAGCCCCTCGGTCAACAATCAATCTATCCAATGAGTGGCTTTCTTGTTGTGACGTCGTAGGTCATCAAGTCATCAAATTCAAGCGACGGCTGATTTGTCGGCTCGCGTGTTATGTGTCATTATGAGACATTTTATTGGCAAATCGGTCAAAGTCACGTATATTGCTCCAATTGTTGCGGTCAATCGAGTCTAGTTCGCTAAACAATGTGATCAAAAGTATAACTGCTAAGTTAGTCACCGACGTCAAACAATTTCCGCAATCGTCTAATGATACATTCTTTGATCAGATTACAAAATTTGTTTTGCAAAAAGAGTGAAATATTTTGTTTTAATTTTTTGTTACCATCAGTATTAGCATCTTAAATAAATCTCTTTCTAAGAGAACTAAATTTCCGAAGATTATTATATATATGAAACAAAAAGTTTTATATCCATTACTTAAATTTATAAAATAAAATACGTTTCAATTCTGTGCAACATAAATTACTATTAATGATTAATCAACTCATAAATCGACATAATTAAATAATCGATTTATTTGCATCAAATACGTGTCTTCCTTGACGCGACTCCAAAGTTTCCATAAACAATTTGATAATCGTCGTAATTTCCGCGGGGATTCTCTTTCCGCACAATCGCAGCGGGAATATCATTGTCTTCAATGACGCAAGATAATCAAGTAGTAATTTGACGTCAGCGAATACAATCTCTGATAGCAAATTGCGTTGAACACATTGGTGCGTGCTAAAAGTTGTGGCATGCGGTAGCTTTACTACAATTTACTATTTTGGTTCTTTGTTTTGTCGATTTAATAACCTTTGTAGCTTTTGTTAAACTTTATATCTTTTGTTATAATGTTCCTTTGTGTCAATTCAGAATCGACGATCTTTAACTTGATGTTGTTAAAATGAAAATATTTAACACGATTAGTAAAGTAGGATCTCTTATAATCCCAGAAAGAAGCTCAATTATAATAATACAAAATTTTTAGAATATGTTCAATAAAATTCGGTTCTAGAACCAAAATATATCAAATGTCAAATTACTTAAAAAAACTTTTTTTAATCACAGTAACAAATGTAGAATAATTGTAAAAATAACATTGTGTTTGTAATACCTGGGATTTGTCATATCTCGCGCTTAACGGGTTAACAGTCGACAGGCAAATTTGCCACGAGTTTCAGAATGAGAACCGCTCGAGACGAGCCTCTCGTTCAACCGGTTGGATCGCCAATCACGAACCGTCTCGCTACCAACGCCTACCGAACCGACGAATCACGAGCAACCAAGGCGAAGGCTCGTCTTGTATCTTGCACCTCAACATTGAAGCTTTCTCTTCGGCACTATCGTGCTGAATCGTGAGATTTGACGTTAAACCGACAATTACGCTATTCGAACGGACTTTGAGCGAGACGCATGGCAACAATAAATCTCATGTATTCGTCTCACGATGACGAGACGGCAAACATCTCGTAGATATTGACATGATAATGGAAAGCGCGTCACCGCGTGACGCAAGGCAAGATCGAAAGTGCATCGAAGGATGATGGAACTTTTTCGCAAAATTGCGTTGCTGCTTGTGAACGAGTTCTCTAACGGCGAAAGGCTGTACGAAACTGAAGGGCAAGAGAGGATGAAATTTGACCTATTTTATACCGTTTAATATCTTAGCAATATAAATTTTTATTAATATACTCCAAAAAAATTGAGTAAGCAGAATAATTTATATTTCTCGTTCAAAGAACTGAAATTTATTCTTCTTTTTCTTCTTTTATTATTAATGTACATTTGTCACGAAATATTGTTTAATAACTCTGGGTCCGTATGTTCATTCCAAGAATATGACTACGAGATTACGATATCGATTAAAGATTAAACCGCAACAAAAGCGTTTTACGAAATCCTCCTTGTTAAAATAAAACGTGTCGATCATGTAAAACTGAAATTCCGGGAATTAATTTATTTCCCATTACTCATAAAAAAATAATGATAATTCATGGAAAACACATCGGGAACGTTTCTTAGCGAGTGAAATTTATTCGTAGCTGACATAAGTAGAAGTTCGTTATTCAAGAATTACTCAACCGCAATCGGCGACTGCGCTTTTGCACAGTCTGCGCTGCAGACAAAGCAACATCCGTTCTTGCTGATACAGCATTTATGCGGCTGCCCGCTACTTTATATCCACGACCTAAACAAAAACTAAAAATAAGAGTCGCGCCTTGACGATGTCATGTGAAAAAAGATCATTCGCGGATATTTAAAAGTTCTAGGAAGTTTACTATCAACCCGCTAAATAAAATTCAAGCATGCGGGAGGAACAAACACGAAATTCTTTCTCTTTGTTTCTCTTTCTTTCTGTCTGTCTTTCCCTGTCTGAAACGATGCTGTGTGCGATTTTCATCGATACGTTATAACTGCACTCACATTCATCTAATAATATCGTCCGCGCCGGCCCTATAACTTACTTAGGTAGGTCGACATCAATTTTGGCACAGCGTCAATTGTGACATACGAAAAGCATGCTCTCTGTTCGTGAGAACCCATGTTAATTTCGTACATAGTTGCTCATTCACATTCGCAACTCCGATCGTTCTAATACGTGTTATTTCAACTCCCCCAAAAAATTCAATGAGTAACACGATAGAAATAAATATAGAAGATTAAGAAGATAAAAAAAATGCCACATCATGATGCGAAGAACTAAACTAACAGGTAAAAATCGTCGATATCGTCAACGTGGATCGTGAATATTTAAAAATATTTAAAAATTTTCGCGAGTATTATTCAGCCTTCAGTCTTCTTTTTAAACCAAAATCGTAAACCAAAATCAGGTAGTATTTATTTCAGTGAGACTTTTCATGCATCCGCTTATATATGAAAATATAAAAAATCTCGAGTCATAGCATTATATCTTATGACAATTTCATGTAAACGTCATATTTTATACATTATTTATATTTATAGCAAAATCCCAGAATATCCTTATTATTTTATAATGTAAAATATACATTAGATATCTGAAATGATTAATTAAAATTTTGTAATGCGTTTCAATATGTATAAATTATAGGTGATATACGTATTTTTAAATATTTAAATATTGATCAGTATAATGTAAAATGTAAAAAACTAATTGAGCTCTTCTTTTTTACGCAGGTTAAGAAGAATATATAAAATACTACGCAAATATATAAAATAATACGCAAAACAATTCGAGACTTGCTAATTTCGACTACGCAATTGTTCACGGCCAATGGCATTATTAACATCATTCACATGCGCTGAATTGATTGACGCCTAATTTAAATTGATTCACTGGTTTTATGCTACAAAGAACAGTAACATTCCATTAGTGGTATCGCAATTTAGACACTAATTTATCTATATTGATTACAGGAAGATCAATTCAAGATTTTAATCCACCGATAAGGTGGATTGTGAGGTCAAATGTTTTACAATACCATAGATTGCTCTAAGCTAATTAAATTCCACATTTTTCTACTCCCGCGGCGAATGCAAATCGGAACCTTCGGCTGCCGCTTCCGAGAAGAATGTTCATCGTCAATGATATTCAAGAGGACACTAAATGACAATGATACCAAATTGTCCTTCGACACGGACACATGCACGAAATGCAAATCATGTAATTCAAAGTGAGAATAGTATCATGCTATCATATCATTTTGTATTTTCTGTAACGATATATATGTACATTCCGATCTTCACTTCTTACAACATGACTGCAATAGTGCAGAACAGATCTCCATCTAAAAATACGCACGCTATAGCTATCCTATAGCTACTCTAATCGCGACAGAGAATTGCGTTTCGTAAAAGATCATTCAAGTATTCTACATTAATTTCTAATTGTTAAATTGAGCCAAAAGAACACAAATGCTCGCGCGACGATATAAAGATCGTCACGATATAAATTCAATTGTGGTGTACAACATTGTGGAATAGAAGAAATTAAAAAAGAGAATTAAAAATATTTTTAAAATATAAAAATTAACATTTTTAGAAAAATTACCTATCTATATTTAAAAAATTTATTATTTCTATTATTTCGCAAGTCTCTCTGATAATGCAGTAATGCTTTTAATATTCTAACGAATATTCTGCATTTTATCTTTTTGTAATACAAGTTTGACATAATTTTTTTCATAATCTTTTTCATAATTCATATTCAAAAGAGCAAGCATTTATTTTAATATAGGGACCATTCTAACTTTCCACTCTCTAATTGTCATGCATGTTTTATTTAACGCAAATATTATGTAACGCAAAGGAATAAACCTCTGCGAATATGTACACATACATGTACACAGTCATGAAGTTGAGAAGCGTTTGCGAACCTTCACAGACACGTGCTAACGCACAACATTCGGATCTATAACGTACCTTTGTACCCGCTTGGGCGCAGTGAGCCGGAACAATGTTTAAAAGAGAGAGAGGAAGAGCAAGATATTCACTGAAATTACGGCCGCACTATCAGCCCACTTTGGCGTCGTTTATCACCGCGGAGGAAACGAGCGGGCGCGTCGCAAGTGCGAAACTGGGGAAGTGAGAGCCGATCGGGAGAGTCGATCGCGCGTCGGACGTCGCTGACGAAACTCGTCCCCTGACGAAAGGCGAGACGAAAAACGTGAACCTCACGATGGTGCCGCGTTACGTACGTGACTAACTGCTCGCGCGAGTAGTATCCGAGAGTGTCTCCGCGCGCGCGAGTCGGGAGTCGGGAGTCGGGAGTCGGGAGTCGGGAGTCGGGTCTCCGTGTCTCCGTCTCCCTCTCTCACTCGGCCGAATCAGGGTCGAACTTCGCGTACAAGCTGAGCGAACCGCAAGGCATGGATTCGCACTCGCGTTACCAGAGGCCTCGCGTTAACCTCGGAAACGGTAGTCTCGACTTTTTTAAATTGAGACACTATCAATTTGCAGCTGACTTTTATCTCGGAAAAGAAAGAGACTTTCGATATAGCGATTTGAAAGCTGCAATAAATGATTAACTCCGGCACTGCACCCACAAATCCCGCTCACTATCAATCTATTTCTCTTTTGTTCGCAGTCTATCAAACGCTCTAGCCTCGCCCACGCTCTTTCTCCTCTCGAAGAATAGATATATTCGCAACGCTCTGTAAAAAAAAAAAAAACTGCTAACTGTACTCGAGTTTGAGACCGAACCAAAGTGTTTCTTCGAGGAACTGATGCTTTTTTTTTTAAATCAAATGGGGCGAAATAAAAGCAGGTATTTAAAGTTTCGGATTTTTAAAACTTTAATCATTTTCACTGGCTAAAATGATACTCGTCAAATGTTAATGTCAAATGTTTTTTAACCATTTGAGTAGTTAAGATTCTCGTTTAGTTAACGATATTACAACCAAAGGAAAAGGAAAATAAAAAACTTTAAAGAAAAAAGAATGGAAAGCATATTATGTAAAAAGAATAAATATCCTTGATAAAGGAAATAAAAGAAATATGGAATAACTAAAAAACTAGACTTCTCAAAAAATAAAAAAATTACAAGGAAATGACACGAATTAGAAAATTAGTTTTGAACTCAAAAACTTCTACAAGTAACTTAGAGTTAAGTCTTTATTAAATGGTAACAATATGAATGGATGGCGTTTCGTTTTTCTATAAAAAATTAATAAAATTATTCAAAATCAAATCAATCTTACGAGGAATTCTTTATGTTCATTCTCAAAATCCTATTGTGATTGCGATAATAGAATACAAGTAATTCTATTCGATAATAGAAT